TGTCACTCAGGCCTCCTTTCTTTCCAAACTGGCTTTGGGGATACGCAAGGATTGCTTCCGGAGCTCAGACATCTCAAGGCCGAGCAGGACACCAACGAAAAAGTCAACCCAGGCGACCTCAAGCCCAGCCTCGCCCCTTGACTAGCCTGGCACGCCAACACAACCTCTCAAGAAGATGAAGGGAGAGATCCTGGAGCAAATCAAGGAGGTCCGCCTGATGCTCGCTGCTGATCGAAGACAAGAGGGTGCTGGCTGATGCGGGTGGTCCGCAATGACCCTGTAGTGAGTTCGCTTCTTAGTTTTCATCCTTTAGATCTCTATATGGGGCGATATGTCGTCGGTATTCAATAAGGGTGAAAACATGTACTAGGCTGTAGGCCTTTTTTTTTTTCTCTTGTCATGGCTGTCTGAACTGTTGGCTTCATTTAGCTACAAGGACGGCATCGTCTGTTTCGGACGCGCCGTCATGTCCGATGCGTACAAGTTGGTCCATCTCGTGAGTAGCAGACCCTACTGTGAGGTAAGATGACACCAGATGTAGGAGGTCGCCCTCGCCCTCAACCTATGTCCGCAACAGCAAGAACTTAGTCCGCATAACTGAGCTCAGCGGCGCTCTGTGCATGGTTGTGTTTGGGACGTACGCACGTGCAAGTGCGAACTTTTGGCTCTTAACCAGTTCAGACAACAACACGTGGATCAAGGCATACACGATCTGGATGGCCGGGTCATATGAGTATTTTCCTTTGATGGTCACACCTGATGGCGGAAAATTGATCTTCTACTGTTACAGTCTTGAAGAAGGAGACATACTTCAAGTCTATGATCCTCACACAGGGTCATGCAGGACGCTACGTAAACTAGACTACATTGTTGACAAAATCGGTCTCTGCTGCTTTGCACTTGGACGACTAAGTTATTTTACCGGTGCTGGTATGTACCGGTAGCCAATCCACCATCCATCACTTTTGTCAAGATCTGTGCATATCTTATACTCTATTTTCAGATATTAGATTGGACATAGTAATACATGTACTGGTGTCAGATATTGTCAGCTTTACAGAAGAGAGAGAGAGAGAGTTAGAGGGGAGAGAACGGTGCATGCATGCATGCATTCTCTCAAGCCATACATATGACATGCTTTCATTTTTCTCCTCGTATTTTTAATGATTCATATCTTTTGAACCAAATGTCTATTATTGAAACTTTTTATATATTTGAATTCGTGGTGACAAGACCTTCAGAACAAGATCAATTTTGGATATGTTTGAAATATATTTTATTTTATGTATTTCAATATTGTTTGAAATCACTTTCATAAAACATTATATTGTTTCACTATGTCATAGAAGTTTTTCCTAGTGTTTCGCTCATTTTCATAAACTGGAATATGGAACTCACAGAGATACGGATATATTGATAGGACAACATTTTTTCTAGTTTTTTCAAGTGTTTCGCTCATTTTCAATCATTTGAATAAACATATTTCACTCATTTTCAAAAGATAGATTTAGGCCCATTCAAAATGATGGATATCACTCATTCAAAAATCTATTTCAAACATTTCAGAAAACTGATTTCACTCATTGAATCTAACAACACATTTCACTCATTTGATACAACTGATTTGAGTCGTTTCAATTGAAAGAAATACATGTTTCAATAATTTAAAAAACTAATTTCACTCATTTGAAAATACAAATATTCTTGTTTCAAGAAGCTGGTATATGTCACAAAAATAAACTTAAATTATTTCATAAAACTAACTTCACTCATTTGATGTCACTTGTTTCAAATAACGCATTTTGATTATTTCAAAAAAACCGATTTCACTCAATTGAAAAGAAAAAAATTGCCCGCTTCATAAAACAGATTACGCTCATTTCAAAAATTATATTTCACTCATTTCAAAAACGATTTCACTCATTCAAACAACGATTTCATTCAATTCATAAAATTGGTATCATTGAATTCAAAAAAACATATTTCAGTTAATTGATATAACCCATTTCATAAAACCGATTTCACTCATTACAAAAAATATCTCAAAAACTAATTCCACTTTGTATTTACGAAATATATTCAAATGTATTTCAATCATCTCAAAAGTTAGTTTCAAATGTTTGAAATATAAATTTTAACTTGAAATAAGTGAAAATTAAATGAAATGAAAAACCATTTTCACTCGCTTCATGAAATAGATTTCACTCATTTATTAAAAAAATTGAAATAATCTGTCTCACATGTTTTAAAATAACTAGTTTCACATTTTCTAAATAACAAGTTAAAAATATTTCACAATGAAATTTGTTTCATATGCATGAAAACAGAATGTACTCATTTGAAAATTTTGGTTTCACTCAAATACTTATTTCGTGTATTCCACAAAACATGTTTCACTCATTTGAAATGTTGAAACTAAAAGATGTTTGAATGTATTCAAGGTTGATCTTTTTCTGAAGGTCTTGGCATCAGGAGTTCAAATATATAAAAAAATTAAAAATCAAGTTGTAGTTTAAAATATATGAATGAATGAAATTGCCAAAGAGAAAATAAAGGGCATGAATTAGTCTGACATGTGATGCATCTTCAGTACATGAGAATGAGGAGAGAGAATGGACCATGCATGCGTCAAGTATAACTATATTGCTGATATGGGCCCCTTTCATCGGATATTGATTTGACTATTAATAAAGGGGTGTGTCTAGGGTACATCTAGATGTGCTTTAGTTATTGCATATCTAAGTGAGTGAATCAAGCACAAAGAGGAAAAGAAAAAAAGAAAAGAAAATATCCACACGAATCTTAACGTAAGATCAATGATATAGGACTTAGATATGCAATACTTATGGCACATCTAGATGTGCTTTAGCAAAACTGTTAATAAAGATACAAGAGATAGACTCGCAGTATACACATTTATACATTGTCTGTGGGCCTCCCTATAGCACGAATCACTTCGCATTTGAGCGGCAGATGGTTTGCCGGTAGGTACCGTATCCGGTAAAAAGAGGTTCGCGTGCACTTGGACCGCTGTGTCCAAGTCAAAATCTAGTGCTCTCGGAGTATAACCCACTTATACCTCAAATAATTCTGGAGGTACGTACGTAGATCACAACGACCTTAACAAACTTCTCGGTGTATCAAACCCTCACCCCCCATCGATAATCCCTCCCGTCTACCGCCCCGCACCACCATGATGCCACGGCACTCGCCTGAACGTCGCCGTCACGGTAGTCTCAGCTCTCCTGCGGCGACCAGCAAGCCCGCGCCGGCTGCCACGGGCGCTTGCGCACCGCTGCCGGAGGAGCTCATCTTCGACGTCCTGTCCAGGGTGCCGGTGAAGTCCGCGTGCCGCTTCCGGTGCGCGTCAAGGGGGTGGCACGCGCTCATCTCCGATCAGGCCTTCCTCGCCGCTCCTCGTCACCATCACCTCCTCCTCGGAGCACGCCGGCGGAGGCCGCGATCTGCGCCTGATGGACATGGATGGCAATGTTGTGACGGTGACCAAGGGCGCAGGTGGCCACACGTTGCTCTCCACGAGCACGGATGAGCTCGTCGGCGTCGCCGAAGTTTCTTCCTCTCGCGTGATCGACCCGGCCACCGGAAAGGTGCTCGCCTATTCCTCGCCGATGCAAATGTTCGGGTTCTACATCATGTTTGGTTTCGGTCGCGCCATCCCGTCCGGTGAGTACAAGATGGTACGCCTCGTGAACAACCAGACCTTCGAGATCTTCACTCTAGGAGACAACGCGGGGTGGTGGAGGTCGAAGCTGCCCCCAATTCGCACCAATAATGGAAGCTCTCGTGTCACCGCCAATGGGGTCATGTACTTCATGGTCTCAAGGAAGCTAGACGATGACGGCTTACTTCGCTTTGACCTCGAGAGCGAAGAGTGGAAGCCGGCCATAAAAGGCCCGCCGATAACATCAAGCCCCGAGGCGTGGTGGAATGGTACACAATCGGTCCGCATAGCGGAGCTCAACGGCTTCTTGTGTGTGATTCAATCGGAGACGCAAGCAACGAGTAATCACAACTGCACCAACGTATGGCTCCGTGCTGATGACTCTTGGATCAAAGCGTACTCGATCCCGGCAGCCCCTTCGTCCTATTATTACATGCCATTGAGGATCACACATGATGGTGGCAAGTTGATATTCTACTGTTTTTTCCATGGACAAGGACACTTGCTTCGAGCCTACGATCCTGCCTCCAACACATGTACAACGCTACGGAGATTAGACGACACTACTGAAAAAGTTGGTCTTTGCAGTTTGCACTTGGACCGTTTTGTCTTGAACAAGATCTAGTGCTCACCTCTAGGTGTGATTCTGCCCAATTTCAAGGTGTTTTTCACGAATAATGGAGTATTATTTGCCGACACGTATTGGTTTGTAAAGACATCGTCGGACTCGCCTTTGAAATTTTTATGCAGAGCTTCGAATTGTTCCTAGCATACATTTGTTTATTTGGAGATCAATGGTAGTGTGGTGGTGTAACGGGCACTTGCTACTTTACGGACATCGCTACTTCGTTGCCTGCTTTATTTGGCTAATGCATTTTCTTTCTTTGGAAAGCATTAGGTTTTACATGCATACCATTGTCTTTTTTTTCAAAGAAGAAATAAACCTGGGAATAGTTTGTAATCCAAACTAAACCCAATCCAACCCACCAACCAAACCAATCCAAACTTTAAGTGCCACAGTCCAAACTGCTAGCGTTTTCAAGCCAAACCATCCAAACTATTTCCGACATATGGTTTGAACCCAGTTCAGGTCAGGGTTACATGTGCGTGTCCACATGATTAGTTGTTGCTGCATGCTTGCTAATGTGTGTGTCCACGGTTGGATTCGGTCAACGCCATCTCGATCGTGGGGACGTCCCCTCCTCTCATCGAAGTTGCAACGGGGGAGCAATCGAAGCGTGTCGTCGTGGGAAGCAAAGCTGCCCGGCTTGCGGCTGGAGCCGCACCCTCGCCGGAAGCGCATCAATGCTTCACCGACGGCCGCCGCCGACACTTCCCTGCAGCGCGTGCTCCATCGCAGCCCTCGACACCGCCAGTGATGTTTCACTGCAGAGCTGACGCTGGCACGGCGGTGCTTCATCGCAGCACCGGCCGGCCATCAGCGATGTTTCACTGCAGCGGCCAACACCGGCGCGACGATGCTCCATCACGGAACCCTCAACGGGCGCCGATGAAAGCTTCACTGCAGCGTCGCCGCCGCGCGACGGTGCTTCATCGCAACTCCTTGACGGTCGCCGGCGAAAGCTTCAATACAGCACCACTGTCATGTGGCGGAGCTCCAACGCAGCACCATTGCCCCGTTGAAGCTCCATTGCAGCACCTTCGATGGCCGGTTGCAAAAAAAGCTTCAGTGCAATGCAACCACCGGTGTTTGGTACGGTGCTTGATCACAGTGCGCCAGCGACAGGCTGTTGCGACAAAGCCCGTGGCGGCGGTGCAGCTGTGCAGTGGAGATGCAACAAGGGGTGTAGTCGCCTTCCTCCTCTAGTTCGTAGTAGCAGTGGGTGAAGTGGCCGGGCGTGACGAGCAGAGATGGGAAAGAGGAGGGGAAGAAATAAGTGGCGGATCGGAACATGCGGGAAGATAAGGTTGGACCGAACGCTGACATGTGCATAGAGATATGTGTCCACCAGTCGGCGTGGCTTACCTTCTCTTGTTTTATTTGGTTGATAATAAACCTTTTCCTATTATAAATAGCTAAATACTTATTTATGTTTAACAAAAGGCCAGCGATAGGCGCCGGTGCACCGGCCGAAATTTCGGCCAGTCGCAACACAGCCACCCGATTCACCCCTTTGTGCGTCGTTGGATTTGGTCCTTCCCCCGTGACATCTTCTTCCCCACACCGCTCGCGAGAAAAAAAACAGGCCCTCGGCCCCTCGTCATCACATAGCGCCATCCCCCACCACCTCCCACCCCCATCCCACACTCGTGCCCATGGGTAACGTGTAGCCCCCACCATGGCCCTGACCGGCGAGCACCAGTGAGGTCCCGCCCCCATCACCGAGATGGCAACACGGCTGCCAATAGATCCCAGGGCGCCGTCACCATGGGATATTGAGATGCAGCTCTAATGCCTGCCTATTCCAGGCCAAGGTCCCATGGTCGCAACAAAAAAATCGTGTTGTCGGATCCGGCTCGCCGTCGTCAACTAGCGGCGTCATGTTTCAATTAAAAAAATTGAACGACAAAAATCTCCAATGATCAGTTGAAGCAAAAATAATGGCCGCTTCCAGCCAAAAATGACAAAGGTTCCAGCAAAAACAACCACAACAGCAAACTTCAAGAGAGTTCAAAGTAGCAAACAAACTAGCCGGTTGCATCAAATAAATGCGCTGGTTCCAGCCAAAATTAAAATGCATGATCCAGCTTCTGTTGTTTGCAGCTTTTCATGGGCTGGTTCCAGCACGAGGCGTGTTGCAGCACCCCGCTGTCGGAGCCTCTGCTCGCCGCTGACGTCGGCTTCCACCACCGTGTGCAGCAGCAAAACTCGGCAACAAAACGGGGTTTCACTTGTGGTAGCAAAAACAAAACTATTCCAGCAAAAAATCATTATGGTTCCAGCAAAAATGCGTCGATGCCGACGGTTGCAAATGAAATAATCTCGCCGGGTCCAGCAAACCTTTTGCCGGTTGTAGCCAGCCGGTGCCAGCAAAACGACTCAACGGTCGTGCGGTTCCAGCACCGGTCATGTGTGGATGTAGTTTTCTTTTTACCGTTTCCAGTAAAAACACTTGCCGTTTGTAACCTCGGAGGGCCTTAGTCGACGGTGCTCCACCGTCGACTGCTATTGATTGCAGCTTTTTGCCGGTCTGGTTCCAGCCAAAAAACTCACCCGTTGCAGCACCAAATGCCCGAATCTCCCTCACTGGCGTCTGCTGGTTGACATCGCCGGCAATTGGTGATGCTCGCAACACCACATGGCCGCTTCAGCTGTTGTCTCACAGTGCGGGCGTCCGGCGGCACCGCTAAGGGGAGAGGGCGGGGCTGGTGGGGGAAAGCGCGACACCAACGACCTCGCCGTCCAATCCGCCGGCAGCCACCTCGTTTGCAGCACCAGCCATGGGATCGCTCGCCGCCCCCGCTGTATTTTGCAGTGAGAGCTCACAGGCCATGGTCACCCCTAATTCTATGAGCTCGCAGGCCATGGCTTATCCTCACATCAGCAGCATGGCGTGTTCGCCGGAGAGCCCATGGAGCTTGATGTAGGAGAGGTCGGGGAGAAGAGCCGAGAAGATTGGGCGGCGACGAGGTAGGAAAGTGAGAAAGGATAAATTTTGGATGTGGTGTGGTGTGGGGAAAAGATAAGGTAAGGGACGCAGTGCGATGCGTGGCCACCAAAGCGACCGGCTGAAATTTCAGCCGGCGTGCCATCCCGAAACGTTTCTCTTAACAAAAACGTTATCTGTCAAAAATCTTGAGGGCAAGAAGACTCAAAACTGAAGACGTCCTGCGGAGGGGTGCGCAGGCTTTACCATTTGGACGGAAGCAGGTTCTGTGTACACATGCAAAAATGTATATCCTTTGAAGCTAAATTCCCTTTTATTAGAAAAAAAACATTTTTCATGATAAATTTAATAGGTATGAATCTAAACATCTAGAAAAATGTTAATAGGTACCATGATAGGTCTCTTTGCAATGCCACGCCCCCCCGGCAAGCTTTTAGGAAATGTTATCGATTATTCATGGCATTTTTGGATTTTTTTTTACTTTCTCAAATTCTCAAATGGTAGTTATATTTATTAAGAGTGTGCCATTTTGATTTTAGCGGCATTGCATTTTTATTATTAAGAGGATGGCGGTTTTATTAATAATACTTTGTTCACTTTTTGTTCGTTGGATCAGCTCGTTCACCCCCTCCTGTGTTTGGGTTGGCCATGCGTCCAACCGACCGAGCCAATTTACGTCCAGAGCTCATGTCAGTGCCATACCAGCGGCCGGCATACATGCCAGCCTTAAAAAAACACCATACAATTCATATTGGCGCATATGGCAGCGGCTGGCACACATCTTAGACATGGTCTTTCCCCTTGGCCGCGGCTTCTCTTCCTTGCCCTCTTCGACGGCTTCCTTCCTTCCACACGCCCGGAGGGCGGCATATTGTGCCTTGAGCTTCTCGTCCCCGTTGATAACCATCCAACAACGGGTGAACTTGAGCGACTTGTACCCATGTTAGGCGTTTGGAATGCCTACAAATGAAGAGCATGCAAGCATATGGGCTAATGGCATATGGGCAAGCAAGCATATGGGCAAATTGACAAGCAAGGAGACAAGCAAGCATGAAACAAAGGAGACCAAGATGGGCACATGTATACCATGTCCTTAATGCCAAGGCCACTAACGAGACGTATCTCAAAACTTGTTGCATTCTTGTTGTATTACCCTCCAACGCTTTAAGAGGGACACCCCTTGTATGGCGCAAACTTCTTGCATTCATGATATTTGCGATTAACACGTAGCTAAAAGGTTGATGTCTTTTGCTCAGCTTTGAAATTGGGGTCTTGTCCAATGTCCCTTCAACATTAACAAAGGAGCTTGTCCTCATCGTGTGTGTATATCTGTCTAAATGCTTTGGTGCTTCTTATTTGCATTGGCTTGGGTGGAGAGCTTGTCTTTGAAAAACAAAGGCTCCCTATCAATGTCCATTTCATCTTCTAGGTCATTCTCCTCCGAGAATGACCGAGGAGAATGACCTAGAAGATGAAGTGGACATTGATAGGGAGCCTTTGTTTTTGGCCAGCCATGAAGGGGTCTCAGCCGTCTTGGCTTTGATTCTCATCAAGATAAAAGGCCGCAACATCTGCATTGCCTTCAAAGATGATGTTTTCCATGATGAAACGGTTGGCCGTCTCATTATCCGTGACTGGCATTCTACCGAACAGGTTGCAGACATCAGGATTGACGCATGATGAGAATGCCATACATCAACCTTATCAGTAACAACAATTAAACAAACCGATGGACGCCCCCGTCATACATCGACCTCACCGACGACAATGGCAGCCACATCAGGGACAGGCTTAGTTTTTTTGTCATTTTCATTTTTGGTTTGTTTAAGAATTTGCTGGACTGTACTTGCCAAAGGTTTTTAAATTAGTTTGTCATGTCTATTTGAGTTAAATTTGGCTAAATTTTAGGAGGACAATTCAGGATGCGATGGCCTAGTTAGACGCACCAACGGCCGGACGACCACAACGCATGCCAGTTTCAAATCCAGACATCCATTTGAGGTCCATGTACCCAAAGCCCCTGCTTCGAGCAAAGGGGCCTGCAGCATGTAGTGGC